CCAGCAGCCCCACCCCTTGCCCTCTTCCTCTCACCCAGCTAGGGTTCACCCCACGCATGCCCACCTGGATACTACCATTCATCAAATGTTTACTGTATGCCCTCAAAGACTTATCTAGGTGCATTGTCAGAATCAACTCATTTAATCTTCACAACAACCTTAGCAGGCAGGCACTATTACCATCCCTATTTTACAGATGAGGAAACTGAGGCACAGAGAGGTGAGATAATTTACCCAAACTTACACAGCTAATAAATGCTAAAGCCAGATTCTAATCCAGGTCATGTTATTTCCTGGCCACTATAATGTACTGCCTCTCAATGTACCCCAAGTACCCCCAAAGAGCAAGAGAAGGACCTAAAAACTTTGCCTAAGGTTGTCAGTGACAGTTTCACAGACAAGGGAATTTTAAGTTAGGTTTTGATGGATGAATAGAAGTTTCCTGAGTTAAAAAGAGCAGGAAAAATACTCTAATAAAAAAAGCTTAGTATGTCAAAGTCAGAGGCATGCAATGACATGATATGGGAAGTTTCCTGTGGCTGGACAAGAGGGAACACAGGCAGAGGCCAAGTCACACAGGGCCCTACGGGCCTCAAGAGGCACTGGAGTTGGGGCCTGTAGGCAGAGATGAGCCCCTGCAGGGCTGTGAGCTGGGCAGTGCCTCGCTCCCTCTCCCTCCTCCCTGGTATTGCTAAGCAACCTCGGCTTGGGTCCTGTGTCCATAACCCCACTCCTGTGTGCCACCGTCTCCTCCCTCGGCCATGCTCAGCCTCACAGCCATGTTCTTTCTCTCCCTGACCCTCCATGTTCTGCAGGGGCCGTGAGGGCCTCAAGCATCTTCCCGATCCTGAGTGTGATTCTACTTTTCATGGGTGGACTCTGCATCGCAGCCAGCGAGTTCTACAAGACTCGACACAACATCATCCTGAGTGCTGGCATCTTCTTCGTGTCTGCAGGTAATGACCACTGAGCTGGCAGGCAGAGCCCAGCCCGCCAGTGGGGAGAAGGCTGAGGTTCGGGTGCTCACTGGCTGGGAGGACCTGACCAGAGAGGAGAAGAGGGAGGGGAGGAACCTCTGGGCTTTGCAACAGGTTGTACTGAGGGGAAGGCAGGTTGTGCTGGGGCTCCTGCCCGACACCCCTCCTTGCGCTGATTCCAGGAATATCCCAGACCCTGCCCCTTAGCCCAATGGCCCACCTTCCTCCCACCTCTTAGAAAAGGGCCCAAATCCCAAAGAGCAGAGGAGGGACCTAAATACTTTGCTGAAGGATGTCAGTGAAGGTTTCACAGATAAGGGAATTTTAAGGCAGGCCCTCCCAGGGTACTGGGCCTACCCTCCGTTGCCCTCTCCCCTCCCTACGCTACCTCGGTGGAAGCAGTCAGGCAACCTAAACCACATTTCTCAGCCCGGTTACATGACAAGTCACATTTGCTTCCAATTCCAGAAAAAAGGACATGGGCTGTAGCATGAGCCACTTAGTAAGAATGACTAGCGTTTAAGTAGTGCTTACCAAGTCCTAGACTCTCACAGCTTTCATATGTATCAATTCACTTAATCCTCTCCATGGCCCTACAAGGCAAGTCCTATCATTATCCCCATTCCACAGGCCTGGAAACTCAGACCAAGGTTACCTGGCCAAAGGCTTTGAATCCAGGCCGTCTGGCCCCAGGCACCAGTCCTAACCCCCTGCCACACCAGCTTCAAATCCCAGGGCAGCCTTGAGCAACTTACCTAACTTCTCTGTGATCCAGTTCCTCCTTTGCAAACCCCCGGAAAAGCACTTAGCAGTGAAGGCAGGTGGTAAATGCTCAATAAACAATGTCTGTTATTATTATTGTTACTCAATAATACTCGAATGCCTCTCCTCCCCCTCCTCCATATCTGCTTCCATTAGTTCTTTCCTTTGTAGCTCCCTCCAAATGAAATGATAAAGGTGATGCTTTCCAACATCCCTGTATGCTCGCCTCTCCATGCACTGTGAAAATGAAGGCCCATCCAACTGTCCTTGCCCCCCCCTTTAATGTTTTTTTTTATTTTATTTTAGAGAGAGAGGAATGGAGAGGGAGGGAGAGAAGAGAAAAAAAATATCCATTGCCTGACTCCTGCACACCCCCTACGGGGGATCCAGCCCTTAACCCAGGCATGTGCCCTGACAGGGAATCCAATCAGCAACCTTTGTGCACAGCAAGGTGCTCAACCAACTGAGCCACACCAGCCAGGGCAACCGTCCATGTCCTTTAATCCTGCTCAAGTGCCTGGCATTCTGCTTGGAAATTAACATCCTTCTCTCTGATTCTGCCCCGCCCCCTCCGTGTCCACCCTGTGCCCCACAGGTCTGAGTAACATCATTGGCATCATAGTGTACATATCTGCCAATGCCGGAGACCCCTCCAAGAGCGACTCCAAAAAGAATAGTTACTCGTATGGCTGGTCCTTCTACTTCGGGGCCCTGTCCTTCATCATTGCCGAGATGGTCGGTGTGCTGGCCGTGCACATGTTTATCGACCGGCACAAACAGCTGCGGGCCACGGCCCGCGCCACGGACTACCTCCAGGCCTCCGCCATCACCCGCATCCCCAGCTACCGCTACCGCTATCAGCGCCGCAGCCGCTCCAGCTCCCGCTCCACCGAGCCCTCACACTCCAGGGACGCCTCCCCCGTGGGCCTCAAGGGCTTCAACACCTTGCCGTCCACGGAGATCTCTATGTACACCCTCAGCAGGGACCCCCTGAAGGCCACCACCACGCCCACCGCCACCTACAACTCCGACAGGGATAACAGCTTCCTCCAAGTTCACAACTGTATCCAGAAGGAAAACAAAGACTCTCTCCACTCGAACACAGCCAACCGCCGGACCACCCCCGTATGAAGCCACGGGGCCCTCGCTAGCGCCTGCCCTGCCGGGTCCCAGGCAGAGCCCGAGAGTCGGGGCATGGCCCGGCCTGTGGGGTGGGCCTGGGGGTAGGGGAGGGTGGGGGAAACCAAACCATCCACTGGGGGGGAAACCTTCCCAAAGCAAAAAAAAACAAAAAAAAAACAAAAAAAAGAGAAAAACATACGTAAATTTTAAAAAAAAGAACAAAATATAAGAGGAACAAAGAAGCCAAACAACAGAAAATGTGAAAAACACATTAATGAGGGAAGAAAAAACAAACTTTAAAAACAGCGAGAGGATAAAAATTAAAAATAGAAAATAAATCTAAAAGAAAATGCATGATTTCCCATGTACCATTATTTTAACATTTAATAAAAACCAATTTAAATGAAAAAAATAAAAGGGAACTAAGATAACATTAAAGCAAAAAATTGAGAAGGAACAGAAAGGAAGGGAGATGTTCTTTGCATTTAATCAGGGCTTTCCGTTACTTGCTTGTTTGTTTTTTTAAGCTCTGGGAGAGTTACTTTTCTGTTCCCTTTAACCCCAAGAGGGCTCTGCCTCCCTAGGTGAGTGGGGGTGGAGACTCAGAGGCCCCGGGGCCAGGTGAGCCTCTTGGTCACTGCCAGGTCCCTGGAGCCTCTGGATGGGTGCCCCAGGAATGCTGGGCAAGCTCCTGGCTTGCGAGTCCACTCCACCCAGCATCAATGGGGCAGTTATAGGCCTCCAGGTGACCCAAGAGTCCTTGGTCCCTCCTGTCCGAAAGGTGCCTGGAGGGGGGCGCACTTGGGGCTTGCCCAGCCCCCAGGTTCCCAGTCCTTAATGGTCCTTAACCCACTGTGATGACTTCCTAGGCCTTGAGGGAAAGGAAGGAGAGGGATGGCGGCTTGCTGAGATGCCCAGAAACCCCGGAATCCTCAGGGTGAGCCTCTTGGGGTCAAAACCCCGAGATCCTGTCCTTGGGGACAGGAAATCCCACCCCCACCCCCGGGGATATAAAGCAGCTCTCCCTCCTCACCCCTCACCTCAGGGCCATCCAATGGCCCTGGGGCGATGGTGGACCCCCAGACTCATAGGCCCGCAGTCCCCTGGGAAGGGGGCTCACTGACCCTTTGGGGGTCCTTGGACTCACTGAAGCCCCCTTGGGGTACAGTGGGTCCAACAATGAAATTGCAAAAAGGTTTCTTTTTACAAAAGAAAAAGGAAAAACAAGTGGTGATTTTTTTTTTAATAAAAAAAACCACAGACTATAAATAAATGTAAATATATAATACGTGGATTTACTCGAAAGAAAATCAGATAGTATTTTTCTTTTAATTCTTTTCCAGCTTTAAACTGTGAAAACAAAAAAAAATGGGGGGGGTGGGGGACTTAAAATTTAGCAGGGAACTTGTAAAGAGAAAAACAAAACAAATATACAAATCCATTTTTTAAAAAATACTATTGTGAGAGATTAGAGCTGGGCTTAAAGCAGGAGGGAGAGACAAAAGGCCCTAGGGAGCTGCAGGGAGTTCCTGTCACGAAAGATCTCTTCCTTAGACCAGGAAGGCGCTGCTACTGTCGGGGAGAGAGAGAGAACCACGATGGAGAGTCCTCTCTTCACGAAGGAGATCGCACAACACACACACACACACAGTCCTTGAAGCCCAGGGCTAGAATCACTCACGGGGATACACATGCCATCTCAACCCTTCCCTCCCCTTACACAGGCAGAGGGAGGGTCCAGAGAAGATGACTCATGCCCTCCAGAGCCATGGACAGCAGCTCCACACTGGCATGTATGCTCACCGTGCCCGCCCACCACACACATGCACATCACTCGCCTGCATGGAAAGGGCACCAGTCTAGAATCCAGCTTTGAATTCTGAAAACCCTTGCTGTGTGGCCTCTCTGGGCCTCAGTTCCCCCTGTGTGATAAGCATGTGGATTGACCCAGATGAGCTCCGAAGGCTCATTCTTATTCTTGGCGCTGATGACTTTTAAAAAGATATGCCACCTGCCCAGAGGAAGATGCCAGAGACAACCAAAATAGCTGCCATCCAGCCCCAAAACATTGAGGACATTTCTGAATTATCGGTCAGCTGTTCAGACACACACGCACGCACACACACACACACACCATATGCCTCCTCACTGTGCTCCCAACCCCCTGCCCCCACATCCAACGTCAAAGCAAAAATTACACACACGTGAGCAAACGCATCCTGCCATTCAGACAGAAAGGGAAAAGGCACCAGAGGTCCCCAAAGCCACTCTTCATTCTGTGTCCCCTTTAATGCCATAACCCAGTCACAGAAAGGGGAGGGGCCTTCCTTGTGAGAAGACATCAGCCACCATGCTTCCCTCGCTGTCTCTAGGGGTCAGAGAAAAAGAGGATCCTCCAAGGCTTGCTGGGAGTGGCGGAGGCCAGGAGATGCAGAGGAGAGCTTTACAAAGTTTGGTCCCAGGGTGAGGACCAACCTCAAAAGTTAAACTTATACCACAGACTAAAGTCTGCAGCATCCCGGGTTGCTCCCCTTTCTTCCCAGACGGACAGGGGCCAGTTCAGAGAAACCCAACAGCTTTGTAAAGCTTGGATTTCAGCCCAGCCTGCTGGAGGTGGGGGGCCCTGCTGCCCCCATCTGCATGTCTCAGTTTGCCTCTTTCTTGACACTGCCCTGGCCTGAAGTTTCTTAAGGTGAGCTCTGGGAGTTGAGGGGAGTGGCTAGCAAGGCTTTTGGGGTTTCCACACTCCCAGCTCCCCTTCCCATCTTTTGTCTGGGAAAGGAAAGCTCTGTTCTTAGGTCAGCAGCATCTGGAACCCTAAATTCAGCCTGAACCACAAGGCAGATCTGCCGGCCCAACCCAGCAGTTCCCGGGAGGCCCCCGGGCCCCAGGGCAGAGCAATGGGGGCCAGTACCAGGTGTGGCGACCACCCAGTGTTTCCAGTCTGGGCAGAAATCACGACCACTCCCTCCCCACTCCAGCCTGGCCCTCCACCCCACCAGATTCCACACCGGAAAGGCTCGAGGACTGGAGAGAAGGGTGGGGCCCACCAAAGACAACAAATGAGCCGGCGCTGTCCGGAGCTGACAGCTGGCCCCAATTTGTTGTGACCGAGTGTCTGGGATGGAAATCAGTGCTTCTCTCCGGGCCGGGAGGCCGGGGTCCTGGGTCCTCTGGAAGAAGGCCATTGGGTGTGGGTGAACCCAGCTGGGCTGAGAAAGGGCTGGGGGCCCAGAGGGAAGAAGCCAGGACTGTGATGGCAAGGGCACTGCTTGCCAGGGTGGATGATTGCTCATGTCCAGCTCAAACCAGTTCAAGAAACCAACCTCCATTTTATTTTCTTGGTGGGTCCTTTTTTTTTTCCAGACTGTTAACAGAAAAAAATTTTAAAAAGCAGAAAACTAAAAAAAGAAAAAAATCCTGGTACATGAAATAAAGATTTTTTTTATAGCTTGGTCCTCACTTCAGTGGATTTCTTTCATTGCTTTCTCAACTCCTAGCATCCCATTTCAAACAATCGCAAAGGCGGAGATTCTCAGAGATGAGGGTCGGGAGGCTGAGAAGCCATGCAGTAGTGTCCCCACGGGAGTGTCAGGGGATGCGTCCTTTCATAAATATCCCTTGCCGATACTTGCACTCCTCCATG